TGGGCTGAGCCTTTGGTTCTAACAATCTGTGCTTGACGGCGTCATTTCTTAAAGTGTCTCTTTGTATTTGCACTGAGAGTGTGCCTTGTCCAGAAGAGGCAAGAGCCAAGGGGATGGGTGCCAGGCAGGGACTGGAGGGGGCTGTTGTGCCTTATCAAACTGGAGAATTGCCCCATTGAGGGGACCTGAGGGCAGTTCTGTGAAGGATGAGTAAGTCTTATCTGGAGTTGTGAGAGTGAGTGGTGTTCTGGTAGGACAGGGTCAGAGAGCATCTGGGACTAGGCATGGGCTGACCTCAAACATGCACAGCTCTGCTGCTCAGCACCCCGCCCAAATCTCCTGCTTCTGGACAAGAGACACCACAGGGTACCTGCCTAGGAAAGCAGGCTGCTCAAGCCCTTGTCACCCCCACTGCTCTGAGATGCCTCGGGTCGGCTCACAGCTGACAGTCTGCAAATACACTGGCCAGTAAGGAGGTCAGCAGCCACATGTGGCTACTTAATTTTAATTAATTAAAATTCAGTTGGATTAAAAATGAACAGGTAAACAAAGCAGGACAGATAAAGGTAAATATGTGAAATGATGGATATGTTAATGAGAGGTGGAACCCTTTAAATTTTAATTAATTAAAATTCAATTGGCTAAAAAGCAAATAGATGAATAAAGCAGGCCAGGAAAAGGTAAATATATGTAGTGACTGTTGTTGTTCAGTCGCTCTGTCGTGCCCAGCTCTTTGCAACCCCATGGACTGTAGCATACCAGGCTTCCCTGTCCTTCATCATCCTTGGGAGTTTACTTGAACTCATGTCCATTGAGTCGGTGATGCCATCCAACCATCTCATCCTCTGTCGCCCCCTTCTCCTCCTGCCGTCAATCTTTCCCAGCATCAGGGTCTCTTCCAATCAGTTGGCTCTTCGCATCAGGTGGCCACAGTATTGGAGCTTCAGCTTCAGCATCAGTCCTTCCAACGGATATATTAATTAACCCGATGAGGGGGGAGGGATCCTTTCACAACATATCAGTTCAGTTCATTCAGTTCAGTCGCTCAGTCGCGTCCGACTCTTTGTGACCCCATGAACCACAGCATGCCAAGCCTCCCTGTCCATCACCAACTCCTGGAGACCACCCAAACCCATGTCCATCGAGTCGGTGATGCCATCCAACCATCTCATCCTCTGTCTTCCCCTTCTCCTCCTGCCCTCAATCTTTCCCAGCATCAGGGTCTTTTCCAATGAGTCAGTTCTTCCCATCAGGTGGCCAAAGTATTGGAGTTTCAGCTTCAGCATCAGTCCTTCCAATGAACACCCAGGACTGATCTCCTTTAGGATGGACTGGTTGGATCTCCTTCCAGTCCAAGGGACTCTCAAGAGTCTTCTCCAACACCACAGTTCAAAAGCATCAATTCTTTGGCACTCAGCTTTCTTCACAATCCAACTCTCATATACATACATGACCACTGGAAAAACCATAGCCTTGACTAGACAGAACTTTGTGGGCAAAGTAATATCTCTGCTTTTTAATATGCTGTCTAGGTTGGTCATAACTTTCCTTCCAAGGAGTAAGTGCCTTTTAATTTCATGGCTGCAGTCACCATCTGCAGTGATTTTGGAGCCCAGAAAAATAAAGTCAGCCACTGTTTCCACTGTTTCCCCATCTATCTGCCATGAAGTGATGGGGACCGGATGCCATGATCTTAGTTTTCTGAATGTTGAACTTTAAACCAACTTTTTCACTGTCCTCTTTCACTTTCATCAAGAGGCTCTTTAGTTCTTCTTCGCTTTCTGCCATAAGGGTGGTGTCATCTGCATATCTGAGGTTATTGATATTTCTCCTGGCAATCTTGATTCCAGCTTGTATACGTATATCAAATTTTCCCACTGTGCCATTTAAATACCATACAGTTTTGTCAACTATGCCTCAAAATAGTTGGGGGGGGGGTTATATATTTATTTATCTATTCATTTATCAATTCAGTTTCTCGGTTGTACTAGTCACGTTTCCTGTAGCTAACAGTACCAAGTGGGATCACACAGATTATAAAACATTCTGTCTTCACAGAAGGTTCCTCTAGACAGCACTGTTCTGAAGGAGGCAGAAACCTTATTCATCTTTCTCTTCTACACATCCGCTGGCTGCATGTTTGTAACCATACGAGAATACTTAGGAATTTACTCTGCCCAGCCCTGGCTGCTTTCTGGAATAAACACCCCATCCAAACCCTAACTCAGAGAAGCCTTGGGCGGCTCTCGCTAACACAGGCATGCCTGGCTGTCTGCCTTGCCCATTACTCACAGCCCTTCTGACACCAAGTCCTCATTCCTCATTTCTCCCTGTAACCACTGGCTCCTCCTCCGAGCCTGTCTGACTGACTCGAAGGTTTCCGAAGCTCGCTTTTATATCACAGGCACACAGCTTCACTAGCTGTGTGAAGGCGTTGGAGGTGGAGTGGGAGGGAGCACTGGAAAAGGCGTTTTGGCATCTCGCCTGTCCCAGCCCCATGCAGCTCACTGAACATGCTTTTTGTTCATCCAGGCATGGGCATTCCCATCTCCCAGCATCACTGGGTGTTCACTCCTCCCCCATCACAGCCTGTTCTTTAGACTCCTTGGGCGGACCTTAGAAAACACAGCCCCTTACCAGGGCCACTCAGCCCTCCTCTCCCCACCCGTCCTCCTTCTCTGGCATTCCCCCTTCCTGATGGAGCTGGGGCTAAGCCCTGGGCTGGGCTGTGGGCACCAGACAGAGCAAGAACTCCTCTCTTCTCTTGAGGCATCCACCATCCACCGGAGAGGTCGACATAAGCACAGCGGGACATGGGGCGGGAGTTCGGATGGCACAATCTGGGTAAAGAGACGGTGGAAGAAAATGGAGATGTCCCTGGGTCTCTCTCCTGCTCCAGGAGGATGCATACGAAAGGACTCTCGGCCAAGGCTCTCTTTTGTCTAAACTCCGCTGTCCTCCTCATCTAGATAGTGAGAGCCCTGCCCACCCTCCCTCCCACTCCACCTGCCCTGTGCCCCCGACCCTGGAATTCTCACCAGCTCCAGGCGTCTCCTCTGCCTTGATCACCAGCTCCCAGTCTTTCCTGGGTCCTGCACAGTCACACACCCGGCTCCAGCCCTTCCGTCCTCCTCACCTTTCTCCTCTGTGCCAGCTTTAGAGCTTGTCCCCATGCTATGGCCCTAGTATTGACAATCCCCCTTCCTTGACCTCTGACCTCCACCACTACCACCCCCCATCTTAACTGATTTCTGCATTTACCCATCCTCTCCCCATTCTCTGCTTTTGGAACACTCTTTGATGCGGACTCTAGATTAGCCTTGCCCTTTAATGCGTGAGCGAGGTTGGAATCACAGATGTCTCCCTCATCCATTCAACAATCATTCCCTGGATGCCTGCAAGACGCCCTAGTGGAAAAGACAGTGAGATAAAGGATGATGATGTGGTGTGGCAGAGGCTTTGCTAGGTGTATGTGAAGAATACAAGCAAGCAGGAGAAGGAGTTGCTCTGGGTGGGGCTGAGGGCTGAACCTTCATTGATGAGGAGGGCAATGGTCAGTCAGATGGACCAAGTAGCTCTCTAGACTCCTCTGTCCATAGAATTCTCCAGGCAAGAACACTGGAGTGGGTAGCCACTCCTTTCTCCAGGGGATCTTCCTGACCCAGGGATTGAATCCAGGTCTCCCACATTGCAGGTAGATTCTTTACTATCTGAATCACCGGGAAGCCCAAGTAGAAAGACATTCCAGGACAAATGAGATGATGCAGTGCACCCCTGCCTAGCAGAGATCAGTAACAACCAATCCGATTGTTGATCAGGGATTGGTAACAGCCAATCCGGTGGCCCTGATGGGTTGAACCACTTGGTGCCATGAAGCAGAGCGCTGCCGGAAAGGAGCTGGAAAGGAGGCGGGTGAAGGCGATTGGGCTCCTTGTAAGTGACTTGGGTTTGCATTTTGGAAAGTTCATTCTTCAGGCTATTTGCAAAGAATAAGACAGAGAAGGAGGCCCAGGAGAGAGTGAAGGATCCCATAGGTGCATTCCCTACCAATTTTGAGCACCAATACATAGGATGAGCCAGGCCCTGCTGTCCCATCCCTCCCTGCCATGCCTTCCACCGGTCACTGCCAGAGACAGAAAAAGGGGAGGAGCTTCTCTTCTAGTTGCCCATTTCCTGCAGCTCCAACGGGCTTGCAAGCATTCTGACTGCAGCATCATTGTGTGTTCATTCTCCTGATCCCCTTGCCTTGACTCAGCTCATTGCCCAATAGAGAAGTTAGTAAATAAAAAGCAGAGGTGCAGTCAACATAACATTGTAAAGCAATTATCCTCCAATCAAAAAAAAAATGTTAGGAAAAAGAAAAAGCATAGGTGCTTGACTCACTTTATAATCCCATTCTGTAGTTTTGGAGACTAAAGCAAGGAGCTGTTGGCCTAAGTGACCTGAATTCTTTTCTGATGAGTACTGTACCAGATTGCCACAAAATTACTGGCATCAAACAACCCAAATTTATTATCTTACAGTTCTGGAAGCCAAAAGTCAAAAAGTGCGTTTCAAGGTATCGGCAGGGCTGCATTCCTGCTAGAGGCTTGAGGAGAAAATTCCATTCCCTTGCCTTTTCCAGCTTCCTGAAGCTGCCTACATCCCTCGGCCTGTGGCTGCCTCCTCCATACTCAAAGCCAGAAGCAGAGCATTTTTCCACATCTCTCTGACTCTGATCCTCCTGCCTCCCTCTTCTAAAGATCCTTGTGATCCTGTTGGGCCACCTGGATCACCAAGGACAATCTCCCCACCTCCAAATCTTTGGTTACATCTGCAGAGTCTTTTTTCCAACACAAGGTAACATAGCTGCCGTTTCCAGAGATGCAGATGTACACATCTCTGGGGGCTATAATTCTGCTGTGGAGCCTTCCCAGCATCCTTTTGAGTCCTTCAACCCCAGGAATCCCTGAGCTTCCGTTGTCACTGACCCATGGCTCTGTCCATCTTTGTTCTTTCAGAGGAAACGACGTTTGAAGCAGGCGTGAAGGTTCAGATCCACAGTCAGTCTGAGCCGCCTTTCATCCAAGAGCTGGGCTTTGGGGTGGCGCCAGGGTTCCAGACTTTCGTGGCCACACAGGAGCAGAGGGTAAGTCCCTGGGGCTCTCTGGGATCAGGGGTCCTTGGCCTGGTCTCTGAGCCACCTGCCACGTGAGGTGGAGAAACAGGATTCTCACTCCTGGAAGGCTCAGAATCCACCCAGGAGGCTGGAAGGAGTAGGGTTGGGCTCAGTGAAAACCCTCACTCTGAAATTGAAGAAAGGTATCCGTTGACCTCTGTATGTGGATTCTCCTGGACCGCCTGTCGATTCTGAAATTGGACATGAGGGAAAACCAGCTTGTTTTCTTTTTCAGTGAACTGGTTGGGGTTTTTTGTTTGTTTGGTGTTTTTTTCTAAAACATTCTGGGGGAAAATCTTTGTGATGGTGAGGTGAGAGGCCAGTGGATGCTAGGGGAATCTGCTCACCAGGGTTTGGTGTGTTTCATCACTCTGGTAATACATTGCCAGGTGGCCTGACAGAAGGAACAGAGATAAGCATCAGTCTCTGTTATGGAGTTTAATCAGAGGGAAGCCTCTTCCTGGGTCAGTTCAGAACCAGGGGAGGGACCCTCCCAGCCAGCCAGCCAGGATGGCTGCGTCAACTCAGCACGGCCACGGAATACGGACTGGCAGAGATGTGACATGTGCTACATGTCTCAGATGGGAGACCTTCATAGATTCTCAGTGGGGAGGAGGTCTCAAAGCAGGACTGCAGAGAGACACTGGGATGGATGCTTTTTTTGTCTTCATTTCCTGGTTTGCTTAGAATAAAAGCTGGAGAGCCTAGGATCCTGAGGGAGTCCTAAACCAGGTCACCCAAGACAATTTGCCCTGGGAGGCCTGGAGTGAAGAGTGAGGTGAATGAGTGACAGGGAGCCCAGCTCTAGAGTGTGAGGAAGGGAGGGCCCAGAGAACAGGGAGGCGTAATGAGATCCACACGTGACTTAAGAGCTCAGCTTGCTTGTAAAATATGGCTCAAATCATCTTTCATCCAGTACTTAGCCATTTTATAGAGCGATCTTCTGTATTGGAAACTGGTTTTAGGGATGTCTGTGGTGGGCTAGTGGCTCAGACCCCACGCTTACAATGCAGGGGACCCGGGTTCGATTCCATGGTCAGGAAACTAGATCCCACATGCCTGCAACTAAGATCTTACATGCTGAAACTAAAAGATCCACTTCTTTAAAATCCATGTCTAAAGACCTGGCCCAGCAAATAAATAAATACAGTAAATAAATAATTTTTAAGTGAAAAAAAGAGAAACTGTTTTTAAATCTCTAAGTGAAGAAAGTGTTAGTTGCTCAGTCGTGTCTGACTCTTTGTAACCCCATGGACTATAGCCTACGAGACTCCTCTCTCCATGGGATTTCCCAGGCAAAAATACTGGAGTGGGTCACCATGCCCTCCTCCAGGGGACCCTCCTGACCCAGGGATCAAACCCCTGTCTCCTGCATTGCAGGCAGCTTCTTTACATCTGAGCCAAATCCCTAAGAGAGCTGTATTTTTGAATCTCTGGGAAAGCACTGATGAACTTACATGGGCCTCATGAACTTACTGTACTTAACACCTGGGCAGTTGCTAAAAGTCATGATCAACCTCCATGGCAGAACGTAGCAGGTGGGATGGCAGCCCCGAGGCAGGGGTAGAGGAGGCTTGGAAGTTGGTCCAGCATCTACAGGCCCCAGAGGTGGAGGCAGACAGTGTGGGCAGAGGTGGAGTGGTCAAGAGTGTGCAAGGTGGGAGCCAAGTGGAACAACCAGAAAACATCATCCTAGAGGACATGAAGCTGACCGCAGGGAGCCAAGTTCAGGGCTGAGGATTTGAGTCAGGAAGAGTGAGAACACAGACTCACAGGTCAAGGTGTGCCCAGAGCCCGGAGCCCAAGATATGAGCCTGGGTGTAATGGCCAGCGTTCGAGTACTGTCAGAGATCAACAAAGCCGGACACTCGTTAAAGCAGCGAGGACAGATTAAATCAGCAATATACCATTGCAGTAGGAATAAGGTTCATCATGAACTGAACTCAACTGCGATTTGTGCAGAAGGCACTTGGATTTTTAAAGGGAAAATGAGGGGGAAGGGTGGGACACAGAGGGCGCTTGAGCAGAGTCAGGGAATTGAAAATTACAAAAGGTGGGAAAATTGGAGGGGGCTGGTCAGTGCATGTGAAACCCATCTGAGTTTGCTAATAAAACCCCATCATAGTTAGGCTCCTCCCCTCCTGCAGAGGCAGGAAGACAGGGATCCTGCCTTCCCATGGTGGCATGCAAAAACAAACAGTAAGCTCTTGAGTTTACTTGGCAGCCTTGAGTCCTCAGGCAGGTACTTTAAGGGAGCTGGGGCATCCCAGGGACTTGGGTTGAACCATGAGAAACTATGTTAGTGTAGAAACACGTTGAAAACACAGTCATTTTTGTAAAGAGCTCGAGTTGAATGTTTCCAGAATACTACATATTTTTTGAGCTCGCTGGAGAACTCAGCATTCAGTGTTGCTACCTGAGGGGTTGTCCTCTGTTGGTGTCTTCCTTCTGGGCTCGTGTGGCCTAAGTACTGTGCTCCCCTGAGCAGCATATTTCATCCAAGCACAATTATATATACAAGCTGCACCTTTTTTGGACTTCTGCTCACCTGTTTTTATTTCCTTTATATAATGTGATTTTTCAGAAGTCAACTGTAAACACTATTCTAATTCTGTTCTTCATCTAAGTGTGTGTGTGTGTGTGTGTGTGTGTGTTAGATGCTCAGTCATGTCCGACTCTTTGCGACCCCATGGACTGTAACCCGCAAGGCTCCTCTGTCCATGGGGATTCTCCTGGCAAAAATACTGCAGTCGGTTGCCATGCCCTCCTCCAGGGGATCTTCCCGACCCAGAGATCGAACCTGGATCTCCTGCAGTGTAGGCATATTCTTTACCATCTGAGTCATTAGTAAAGTTCCCTCCATCCAAAGTATTCATTTTAATGAAAAGTAAGTGCTAATGACCAGAAAGAAAGGAAGGAAGGGAAAGAGGGAGGGAGGGAAGGAGGAAGAAACTACGATAGTGTTTGTCCTAGCCTTTGTAGGTCAGGGTTGAGACCTCATGGAAAACAAGGGCACCGAGGAGCCTGGCTAGAGTTTGATCAAGGAGAGAATCATTGCCAGTCCACCCTTCTGTGTGTGTGGTGTGAATCTACCCACCTCCCTTGGAAGAACCAGGCTGGAGTTAGACTAATCAGTGTGTCTGTGAAGTCTTTGACTATCTAACAGGGAATTGGGGGCTAGTCGTCCAAGGCAAATATGCCTTTGTGCTTTACTGAGAGTGATCACCACTCCCATCCTGTATTGACTTACCTGTACTGACATCTCTCTGATGTCCATGTTGCTATTACCATGCAGAAGATATGAACAGCCTTCCTTGAAACCCATAGGGTCATTCATTTCACTGCTTGTGAAAGCTAAAAAGAAGGAAACTCTCTGTAGGAACAGCAGTGTCATTGGCTTGAAAGATGCCGTCTGTCCTCCCCCCGCCCCGGCCACTGACCCTCCGCTAGTGACAATGAACAAATTTCTAGGCCAGGTGAGTGGCTGGGACCGATGACTTCTCAGAATCCTTAAGTCTCTTTTTCTTCCCAAAATGAAACAGGGACTCCCCGTGGCGATCAGGAAGAGAACATATTCCCAGCTTCAGAGGACAAATTCGTTGTTGGCTTTGAAGTATATTTTCAGAAAATCAGCCTCATTCATATTAGCATTGCTGTGGTTATTATAACTAATAATAAGATATCTGGTTAAACATTTTACAGTCTTCAAAGCATTTCCACACCATCTCATTTCATCATTTCATTCATATTAATAGAGAAATACAAAAACACATCCCGGAGCTAAATCTAATAATACATTATGTTTACATGTATATAAAAGAGCATATTCATAGGAAATAAGACTCGAAGGAAATAAGGCAAAATACCCACAGTGGGGGGATTATGAATGATTTATTTTCTTGTCTGGGTTTGCCACGCTTTTTATAAGGTGGCTCTGTTTTATTTATTTGTTGAGCAAATATTTGTTGAATACCTACTATGGGTGTGAAGCGATGGGGATACGGGGGTAAGAAAACAAACCAGTGTCTATCCTCACAAAACCTACATGTTAGTGGTTTCTTTCATATAGAAAAAAAAAAAAATAACCACTAAATAATCTTAAGCCAAGTAGAATTTGGAGATTGGCCACTACTTGTGTGTTCTGCCATTGGTGCTATCCTATCCAGCTGACCCTAGTTCTCTAACATTGATTCTAAGATGTGTGTTCTTTCACATTTTAACATTTCTAAAACTGGGGCTTGTTTCCCAATCAATTGCATGTCAGTTACAATTAGCAGTGCTTTTTCTTTCTTTTTTCTTTTGATTTTATCCCTTCACCATTATTTATTTATTTATTCGGCGGTGTCAGGTCTTCGCTGAGTTAAGCAGGATCTTTCGCTGCGGCCCACAGACTCTCTAGTTGCGGTGCTGAGACTCAGCTGCTCCAAGGGATGGGATGTCTTAGTTCCCCAACCCTGGGTCAATCCAGGCCTCCTGCATTACATGGTGGATTCTTAACCACTGGACCACCAGGGAAGTCCCACTTTTTCTTTCTTGATGGCCCGTGAAAATCGTGATGGACTTAACAATCTACAGCAGCTGCACTTTTCCCATTCCAGGATTCTGCTCCTTCAGCTCAAAGCCCATGGGAATCTTACAGGAAGGCCAGGGGTGACAAGACCTTGGGGGGACAGAAGGTCTGTTCCTAGAAAGTGGGTGTGACTCGTGCGAGGGAAGCTGACTCCTGAGTGAGAGCCCTGCGCAGAGCTGGTGACTTACAGGAATCCTGCTATGAATGCCTCTGTAAACGGGAAAGTCCTCTTGCATGGGAAAGTCATCACGCCCATGAAAAATTACACATGCCATTCTGAAAATATTTTTCGCTTTGTTTTGTAATCCAAAAGAACACACCACTGGGCTGTAGTCCAGACCCAAGATTGCTTCTTAAAATTTGTATTTGTCCTGAACTCAGTGAGGCCAAGGCATGACCT